CTGGGCGCAGGCTGGGCAGGGCCTGGGGTCCGTGGCTTGGTGCCCACAGCCGGCTCCCTGGCGGCATCACTCTAGCATTGCACTTGGGGGGGTTGCCTGGCAGGGGAGCCCGCCCCAGGGCCACACAGGCCAGGTCACCTCCCGCTGAGGTCTATGATTATACAGCGTCTGTGCAAATATGCAAATTAGCTCGTTAAGTCCCTTGCATCCGCGTATTGCATGTGGGGCTGCAGAGGAGCCCCCGGAGCCGGGCCCGGGCCTTGGGGGGGAGGTGGGGCGAGCGATGCCAGCAGGGCCCTGGAAGCAGGACTCCTGGGGGGCGCCCCCAGGCAGATGTCTAAAGTGGCCCCTGCCTGTCTGTAGCAGTAACCCCCAGGCCTTTGCTTAGCGGTTCATCGGCTCCACGGTTACATCCCTGCTTAGGAAAATCTTCCTGCCTGTCGGGGCTTAAACACTGGAATAAGTTGCCGAGGGAGGTTGTGGAATCTCCATCTTTGGAGCTATTTAAGAGCAGGTTGGACAGATGTCTGTCAGGGATGGTCTAGATGGTGCTTGGTCCTGCCGTGAGGGCAGGGGACTGGACTCGACTGGTCCCTTCCAGTTCTAGTGTTCTAGGATACTACCTGGGAGCTCTTCGGGGCAGGGAGATCTCTGGCAACCAAGTCTGGAGCTGAGGTCTTCATTCCAACAGCGCTTGGCACAGCCCAGATGTAGCCCCAGGCAGGCAGGGCGGTGCTAGCGGTCCTTGGGCCCAGTGGATCTGTGAGAGGTGTCCTGGTGGAATGGCAGCTCTGGCTGAAACAGGTCTGTCGCCTCCGCCCAAGTGGCGCATGGGGCAGGTTTCTGACCCATTTCTCACTCTTGCTGCTCTGGGGTCTGTTCCACTCGGGTCTCTGCTGTCCCACACCTGGAGTCACCGAGTCTGCCCTGCTCTGCCTGCAGATGCCTCACTCCCGAAGATACCGCTCGTCGGAGCGCAGCAGCCGTGGCAGCTCTCGCACGCGCTACAGGCG